TTCCTCCTAAACTGGTTTTCATCCCAATCTTGTGTTGCTCAGAAAAACATACAGCCAGAAAGCCAAATTCCAGAGTCCTCTCTGTGCTCATCCTGGGAGGGGCCCAGGCAGCAGGGCTATCTGAGGTCTCTTCATGAGATGCTCCAGGCCAAGTCTCCCTCTCCAGGTTGGCCTGGCAGCCTCCACTGGCTGCCTTCACTAGCCACTTAGGATGCGTCCCTCCAGCTCCCATCGCTAGTCAGCTGGGCGAGGCCCCACCCCTGTATTCAATGTGGTTGCCAGACATTCTGCCCCACCATGATCCCCATTCTTCATTCAACCAATATTTTTCTTTCTTTCTTTCTTTCTTTCTTTTTTTTGTTTGAGACAGAGTCTCGCTCTGTTGCCCAGACTGGAGTGCAATGGTGCGATCTCGGCTCACTGCAACCTCTGCCTCCTGGGTTCAAGCAATTCTTCTGCCTCCGCCTCCTCAGTAGCTGGGACTATAGGTGTGCACCACCACACCTGGTTAATTTTGGTATATTTAGTAGGACAGGGTTTCACCATATTGGCCAGGCTGGTCTCAAACTCCTGACCTTGTCATCCACCCACCTCAGCCTCCCAAAGTGCTGGGATTACAAGTATGAGCCACTGCACCTGGCTCAACCAATACTATGTACCCATTAGATAAGCATGGCACAATTGTAAGCTCTTGGGCAACAAGACAGCGATGATCCCTGCCCTCTGGGAGTGGTTACTCAGGAAGATAGAGTGAATACTCAACTAGTTCTTCAACTAATTGCTTAATTACAGTTGTATGAATCCTTCAGAAGTTGTCAAGTTGCAACTGGGAATGTGCAACCGGGATGAGGATAGGCGCCTTGACTAGGACTGAGGGAAGAGGAAAAGCCTCCCGTGGGAAGAGGAAAAGCCTCCCGTGGGAAGAAGACAAGAGGGCAGAAGCACACGGAAAGAGGGGTCAGTGGGGTAAGATGAGGCGAGGAAGGTCAGCAAGGTCCCATCTTGACGGCCTTCAGAAGGCTGGCATTTATCGTAGGAACAAGGAGATTCCACTGAAGGGCTCAGGTGGTGAATGATAGATGTGTATAAAGCAGGGAAGAAAAGAATGACACGTAGGCCAACAAATTCTAAATTGTGCTGAGAATTAACAACTGTCTTTTTAGCCTTTGGTCTCCCTAAAACAGTAAGCTTCCAGTAACTCACAGGTTGACGATGAATGGGGCTGTTGTAAAGTTCCTTTATAAAAACAATTTTTTTTTTTTTTTAGAGACAAGGTCGTCCCTGTTGCCCAGGCTGAAATGCAGTGGCACAATCAAAACTCTCTGCAGCCTCCAACTCCTCAACTTAAGCAATCCTCCCGCCTCAGCCTCCTGAGTGGCCTGGACTAGAGGTGTGCACCACCACATCCAGCTCATTTTATTTTTTGTAGAGACTGGTTCTCCCTGTGTTCCCCAGGCTGGTCTCAAACTACTGACCTCAAGCAGTCCTCCAGTCTTGGCCTCCCAAAGTGCTAGGATTATAGGCGTGAGCCACCATGCTCAGCCCAGTAGGTGTTCATGACCATGTGGATTGTTCTTGATAGTGAGGACTCAAGCCCAGGCAACTGTCTCCAAGTCGGAGTATTCACCCACCCCTGCATCAGTCTGAAACTGGAATCCTCTTCTGGCATGTCTCAGTGAGTGGGCCCACCCTGGCCCATTCAGAGGGGTGGATTTGAAGAGGCACTTGGGGCCAATCTGGAGGAGAGAGGCAAAGCAAAGAGTAGAATGGCGCCAGGACCTCAAGGACTGATTCCTTTCGTCAGCGTTGTCCACGTGGGTTGCTCTTCTGGGCCCTGGGAAAGCATTACAGACACCCAGACATGGTTCTCAGAGCCTGCCCTGACATGTCACCCCAGAAGATCGAGGCCTTTGGTCCTTGAGACCTTTACTTTGAACACAAGAAGGGTTTGCTTGCCCCCAGAGATTTACCCAAGTCTTTTTTTGTTTGTTTTTATTTGGAGATTGAGTCTTACTCTGTCACCCAGGCTGGAGTGCAACCGTGCAATCGCAGCTCACTGCAACCTCCACCTCCCGGGTTCAAGTGATTCTCCTACCTCAGCCTTTCAAGTAGCTCGGATTACAGGCGCCAGCCACCATGCCCGGCTAATTTTGTATTTTTAGTAGAGACAGGGTTTCACCAGGTTGACCAGGCTGGTCTTGAACTCCTGACCTCAGGTGATCCACCCACTTTGGCCTCCCAAGTGCTGGGATTACAGGCGTGAGCCACCATACCCAACCTCAAGTCTTTTCTGATCCTAACATTCTGGGACCCAATCACTTCAAAGGAGACATGCCATTTCCAGCTGAGGCCCCAGAAGGAATGCTTTATAGTGGACAACTCTGAGGGCTGGCACGGAGCCTGGAGAGGGAATGGAAAGGAAGAAGGGAGCTGATGGGAAGTCCACAAGGGGCAAGGCAGAAAGCAACTTACGATTATGTCACGATTCTACCCAGAGGCGGCCCAGCCTTTGAAAGTTGCCTTGCCCAGAGTGAGAAAGATTTAAATCACACATACACACACACACACACACACACACACACACACACACACACACACACAATACTCCCAAGCCCCTCCCCCGCCCACACACATATTCCATGCATTTCTTTATTAAGGGAATGCTAACATTTCTTTAAAGTACAATTCTTAAAATGATATTTGGAGACCACATTCTTTAACTTGTGAGGATGTACCTCCAATATCTTAATTAAATTGAGATTAAAAAAAACACTTTCTCTAATTGTGACTAATTGCTTGTCATTGTAATGTAATGTCATTGATTAAAATGTATGCCAACTTGCAGCATTAATAACCTCATTGCTATGCCGGTTCTGCCAAAACCCTTTTCCTAGTATTTCTTACATTTCCACACATCTGAAAAAGTTTCCCCTGAGCTTGTCCCCTCCAAAGACTTCCTGGGTGGCCTTGGGCTCTGCATAGTTGGATCTCCCCACAGGTGGGGAAGGGGGACGTGCCCTTCATCTGTGGTGCATCAGCAGTGTGGGCTGATGCTATCAAGTGTTGAAAAGAATGTGAGACAGAAAGAGATAATGTTTGAAATGGGAAAAAAGTGATCACATATTGCCAGTTTTGCTTGCCAGCTATCATGAACTGATAATGAATTAGCAAAAGGCCAAACTTACATGCACGAGGTTGTCCTGAGCAATAACACATGTCTTTAGATATCATCCATGGCTTACAAGCCAACGCTTTGTAAAGTCTTTGCCCTGTGATGAGGCTATCTTCCCAACGGGGTAGGAGGAAATGATTCCTTGCACTCTAGCTGGATGTAGTGGCTTATACTCTAGCCAGGAGGTCAGGAAATTGTCACAGAACCAACTCTGCTTATTATTCACTGTGTGCTTTGGCTAAATCTCCTAACTCACTGGAGTCTGTATTTCTTTATCTCTGAAGTGACAGCAACACTCAACACACGTTGACTGAGGACAGACTGTATGCTAGGCTGAACTATGTGTGAGTGAACATATAGTCATCACTTCCACAGAGTGGAGTAGTGGATATAAGAATAAGTACCGCATGTGAGTGACTCCAAATATTCTAGCATCCCCATTTGCTAAATGAGCTCTTCAGATTTTCACTTTTATATTTTTTGATATTAAAATATATCAGGATGTTAATGAAATAGACAAATGTCTGCATAATAATGTATTATTTTAATTACTTAAATGTAAAATCACATGCTATTCGTTAATTTGTAAATATTGATTAAGACGTTGAGTTTAAATTATATATTTAAAAATTATGGCCAGGTGTGGTGTCTCACTATTGTAATCCTAGCACTTTGAGAGGCTGAGGTGCGTGAATCAGCTGAGGTCAGGAGTTTGAGACCAGCCTGGGCAACATGGTGAAACCCCATCTCTTCTAAAAATATATATTTTTTAATTTGCCAGGCATGGTGGTGGATGCGTGTAATCCCAGCTACTCAGGAGGCCGAGGCAGGAGAATTGCTTGAACCCAGGAGATAAGAGGTTGCAGTGAGCTGACATGCTGCCACTGCACCCCAGCCTGAGTGACAGAGTGAGACTCTGTCTCAAAAAAAAAAAAAAAAAAAAAAAAAAAAAAAAAAAAAATCACATCATGTTTGTAATGCAGAAAAACTGCCTTTACCCACTCACAATGCAATACTTTTAATCAAATTCTTCCAGTGCATTTTTGACATCAGGGTTTTGATGTTTCCTAGGGCCAGTCTTCAAGCCCATTTTTCAGAGCACAGCGTCTCCATATCCATCTAGATTGCTTGAGATTCAGGCTTTTTGGATCTAAATATGATGTTGTCATTGAAAATTGTACCTCATGCCATGACAGTCCTTTCCCTATTTGTGATCTTATAAGATAACCACGTATCCTTAAAGCATGGTATATTAGTAATGTTGGCTTTTAACATGATCTTCATATGGTTTATTTACTGTAACCTCCAACACTCAACAATTGAGAGGTCAGATCCTCAGGAGTAGTTGCCAAACGTGTCATTTCTGTGCGACCCGCAGAGACCCTTCCCGAAGCAAATGAGAGCGAGGAGTTGTGAAGCCGAGTCCAGGTTTATTGGGATCTGCGGGCAACCCAGGCGGGAGGGGAGCTGAGCTGCACCCAGCAGCTGCCGGAGAGGGTTTTTATAGGGGCGGCGGCCTGTTTAGGTGAGGTGTTGTGGAGTGATTGGTGGAAGGGAGAGCAGAGGAGGGTTTTCTGCGTGCCAGAAGGGGATTGGTCACCTCTTGGCGGGCTTAGGTTTGAATTTTATTGGCTGTCTTGTTTCTAGGCAGACTACTGCAACTGCCAAGGGGTGGGGGATGGGGGCTGGCTTTAGGTTTGGCGGGTTAAGGCTGAGCAGTGATTGGTCGCCCTGCGCTACCAGGCAGAATAGGGTCTGCAGGCGGACTCCAGGAAGTGAGGGACAAAATGGAGGACTGTGGGTTTTTCTACCAAACATTCCCGACTCCTTAAAAAGGAAAAAGGGCGACGAAGTCGTTCTGGCTACTTCCTGCTGGACTTGGGCGAAGAGGGGCCATCTTAAGGAGTCTGGGAGATTGGCAGAGGGGTGTAGGTGTAGTTTGGTGTTGGGTGGCTGGATACCGGCTGCAGCATCATTTGGTTGATGGTAACTCGGGTTAGTTCTCGAAACCGACGTTGGAGGAACTGGAAAAAACAGGGAGCAATGAATAAAACAAGACAGATAATTAGTAAGGGACCAAGTAGTGGGGATAGAAGGGTGTACATGGAAGACGACCACCATGCGGAGGCCTCTGTTGAAAACTTATAATTTTGGAGGCTGGTTTTGATTTTTTGGAGATTTTCAATTCACGTTTCTACCAGTCCAGATTCGTTGACATAGTAGCAGCATTCCTCTTGTAGGAAGATGCAGGTTTCTTCATGCTCCGCCATAAGTAGATCCAGCACCCTCCGATTTTGTAGGGCTACCTGGGCGACCGAGGTGATCTGTCGTTGGAGAGATGCTAGAGACGCCGCTGAGTCCTCGATGGCTGCCTGAAGTTGTGAGGAAAGGCGAGCCAGAGCTTGGTGAGAATGGAACAATGCCCCTCCTCCCAACCCAGCGGCCAGCGCGGAGCCTGTAAGGGACAGGCCCACAGCCACCGGGGGGAAGGCCGCCCTTCGGGCGCGATGAGATGGAGCCTGTGGGACCTGTAGTAGGAGGAACTCGGCCGGAGAGTAGACAGTGAGTCGAGGTACTAAGGTGACTGGAAGGCATAAGAGGGTTGGAGGTTGGCTAGAGGACAGGTTTTTGTTAGGGTGCCATTGCACCAGAAGAAGATGCCCCTTGGAGCGGTTAGGCTGGTTGAAACCCGCCTGGTGTGGTTACAATAGGAATAGTTGTGGCCTAGGGAGTAGCAGGCCGGGAGCTGAGACTCAGGTAAGTCATAGAGTTGTACGTTAGGAATGGGAGTAAAGGGGTTAGATGATTCCGGAGCATTACGCGGAAAGGGAACCAGTACCGCAACGAGAGGAGTTTGTCCAAGAGTGGCACACAGAAGGCAGGAGGTTAAATTAGTAAGTCCGGACTGGTTAGCAAGTGCTAACCCCTCCCTGAGGAGGGCAATCCAGGAAAAGGGAGTATTGTGGGGTTGGAGTTGAGTGGTTAGCGCTTGTTCCTGCTTTCGTATAGAGGCGCTTACAGAGATGAGCACATAAGCGCACCATATGTAAAGGTGTGAGGAGGGGTACGATTGCCCTGGGAAGTCATAGAGTGCTGCCTTTTGGGGACTGGTCCATCTTGGGTTCCAAGGGTCGGGAATGGTTAGAGTGAATTGGTTGTCTCCTGTAGGGACGCCCTGGGGATTGAGTGCGTCAGTTTTGGTTAGAAGTGAGGGACTCTTCCTGCCTTTTTCCAGAGTTTTTTCCAGGGCACAGGAGTTTATCCAGACACAGCCCAGACAAGAATGCCAGGAAGAGGTTTTACAGGTTTCAGGCTGTTTGTAATGGTAGCAGAGAACAGGGAAGGGGACCCTGGAATTGTAAAACCTAGAAAAGTTGAGCTGTATGGGGCGTGAGCACCCCGTTGTGGGGCAGTCAGTGGTGGCTAGAAGATGATTGTGAGAGTAAGGGGGAGGGTCACAGATATGTTGTGTTTTGGTATAGTTTTCAGTAAGGAAGAATCTCCAGACATACTGAGAGGAGCTAAGTTTTGGTAAGTTTGAGAGATAGAGGGCCAGTAGGAGTACACTCCCAGCGGGGAGAGAGAGAGCCATCAGGGCACCTCTTCACTCGGGACAGGTGGACCCACGACGGGATTTGTGCGACCTTAATGGCTGAAGGGGTGGCGAGGATAACTGTGTAAGGACCCTCCCACCGAGGAACTAGGGGCTTTTGGGTAAGGGTTTTTATGAGAACTGAGTTACCGGGGGAGATACCCTTGGAACTGGTAGGAGGATTAGAGGGGTGGGGTAAGGAGGAGTTGGCGTGTTCCCTGAGGAGGTTTCTGAGGAGGGTGAAGTAGGGGAGATAGTTTTCTAGAGGGGTTGTGTTTGGAGGTGGAGGGGTGGACAGCAAAAAGGGGCGCCCGTAAAGGAGTTTGAACGGGCTGAGCTGTGATGAGCCCCGTGGACGTGCCTGCAACCTGGCAAGGGCTAGGGGAAGCAGGGTGATCCACGACTGTCGGAGTTCTAAGGAGAGTATGGTGACCTGCTCCTTGATGAGCCCGTTGGCCCGTTCCACCTTACCAGAAGATTGAGGATGGTAGGCCGCGTGGAGTTTCCACTGGATTCCTAGGGAGGTAGAGACCGCATTAGTGACTTTGGAGATAAAGGCAGGGCCGTTGTCGGACTGGATGGTAGCCGGGAGCCCAAAACGAGGAATGATGTCCTGGATTAGATGGTGGGCCACTTGGTCAGCCGACTCAGAGGTGGTAGGGAAAGCCTCTATCCATCCTGAAAAAGTGTCAACCAGGGTTAACAAATACTTAAAGCGTTTGTGTTTAGGCATATGGGTGAAGTCTACTTGCCAGTCCTGACCCAGTAGGAACCCGCGAAGCTGGTGGAGTTGCTGACGGAGGTGACACACCCCTTGAGAATTGGTTTTTGTACACGTGGAGCAGCTTGCATGGACTTGGTGGATGGTTTGAGCGAGCCCGCTAGGGTGTAGTAGGGGTGTAAGATGAGATAGAAAATATATTTTGGCTGGGGGTGGACAGTTTTGCGCAGTGTTCCTTGCTGTCCTATCGGCAAATGCATTACCGAGTGCCTCAGGAGACCCCGAGGACTGATGTCCCCGACAATGAATGATGGCTACTTGTTTGGGCAGTTGGATGGCCTCGATGAGGCCAGCGATAAGCTTGCCATTGATTACCAGGGTACCCTTGGTGGTGAGGAACCCTCTTTCTTTCCAGATCATACAGTGAGAATGTGCAATAAGAAAGGCATACTTGGAGTCTGTGTAGATGTTGACAATTTTGTCTTTTGCCCATTTAAGAGCTTGAGTGAGCGCGACAAGCTCTGCCTGTTGGGAGGTGGTACCTAAAGGTAAGCGGTGGGTTTCAATGACTTCAGAGTGGGTGACGATGGCATACCCAGCTGCGCGAGGTTTGGAGGGACGTGAGAAAGACCTGCCATCTACGAAGAGGGTTACGGCTGCCTCTATGGGGGTAGACTGTAGATCTGATCGTGGGGACTGGGCCTCAGATAGAACCTCGGGGCAGCTATGCTCCAGCGGGGAAGCGGCGGGATTAGGAAGGAGGGTGGCCGGGTTTAGGGCAGGACAGTGGGAAAGAGTAATGTTGGGATTTTCTATAAAGAGTAGCCCAGGTGTGGCAAGGACTGATAGGAAAGGAGTTCCCGGAGCTTATGGGGGGAGAAGACCTGAAGTGGCTGCTGCAAAATTATCTTGAGGGCTTCTGGGGTGAGAATAGCGGCTGCCGCCAGTGCCCAGAGACAAGGTTGCCACCCTTTTTCGGTGGGTCCCAGCTGCTTAGAGAGATAGGCTAAGGGAAGAAGGGTGGGGCCAACGGGCTGCGCTAAGACTCCTAGGGCCACATGAGCCCTTTCATCAGTGTACAGGTGGAAGGGGAGGCTAGGGTTTGGTAAGGCCAGGCCTGTGGAGGCGCATAGAGTTTGGAGTAAGGAGTGAAAGGCTCGTGTGACCGCGCCTGGAGAGGACAACGGTCCTTCAGGAGTGTCTGCGGCGGCTTGGTATAATGGTTTTGCCAGGAGGGCAAAGTTTGGGACCCAGTGGCGGAAGAACCCAACCATTCCCAGGAAGGAGAGTATTTCTGCTGCCGTCTGGGGCGGTTGGAGGGACCTGAGGGCCTGCAAGCGGTCAGCTGTGATAGATTTTTTCCCAGGAGTTATTTGCAGGCCCAGGTAGGTTACAGAGGGGGTGGCTATTTGGGCCTTTTTGAGGGATACGCGGTACCCCCTTGCACCCAGAAAGTTCAGTAAGAGGGTGGTGGCCCGAATACATTCAGGGTGGCTGGGGGAGCAGACTAGCAGGTCATCAACATATTGAAGGACAGCAGAAGGAGCGAGGTTGCAGTCAAGGAGGTCGGCGGCCAGAGCTTGCCCAAATAAGTGAGGGCTGTCCCTGAAGCCCTGGGGGAGGACCGTCCAAGTGAGTTGTTGAGAAAGGTCCGTGTGCGGGTCCTCCCAGGTGAAGGCGAAAATAAAGTACGAATCAGGGTGAAGGGGAATGGTGAAGAAGGCGTCCTTGAGATCCAGGACTGAAAAGAAAGCAGCGTTGGAGGGGATCTTTGAGAGCAGGGTGTAGGGGTTGGGGACAACTGGGCGTACGGGGATAACAGCATCATTGACCAGGCGGAGATCCTGGACCAGGCGATACTCTCCAGACGGTTTGCGAACAGGGAGGATGGGAGTATTACATGGGGAGTTGGTGGGGATGAGGAGACCGAAACCTTTAAGCCTGTTAACGATGGGAGAAAGTCCAAGGCGATGCTTCCTGGAGATGGGGAACTGGGGACGACAGAGGAATCTGGGGGAATGCTCTTTAAGGGAAATTTTGACAGGCTGGTGGTGTTTTGCAATTGTGGGTGTTTCAGTGTTCCAGACCTGGGGGTTGACGTCTGGGAGGAGGGAAAGAGAGTTTGCGGGGGTTGACGTAGGGTCAGAACTGTGGAGTAGCGCTAGGAAGCTGCAGTTGGTGATAGGAGGGAAGGTGATGTTGGCGTGGAGTTTGGCAAGAATATCGCGGCCCAACAGGGGTACAGGACAGGAGGGGATGACTAGGAAGGAGTGACTAAACAAAGTGGGACCGTACGAGCAAGTTAATGGAGGGGTTTGCCGTGGGACGTGAGGGGTGCCATCAATCCCCATAACAGAAACCTGGGAAGGACGAGTTTCGCCATGGTAAAAAGGGAGTGCAGAGAAGGTAGCCCCCGTATCGAGTAAGAAGGAAACACTTTTACCCGCTACCTGAAGCGACACCCTGGGCTCGGCAAGGGTAACCGGGGTTGAAGAGCCAGGGCCTCCCTAGTCGTCTAAGAGTCCCAGCAACTCGGGACCGAAACCTCCGGAAGAATCCGACTTCCGTGCACTTTGGCCGGAGGCCGGATCATCCGGGGTTGCCCTGCGCGATCCAATCCCTCTGCCAGGGGCGGCTGAGGTCTCGGACGCACTAGGGCAGTCTGACTTCCAGTGTCCCGTGAGTTGACAAAGGGGGCAAGGCTTAGTGGGCGGACGGGGTTGTGGGCAGTTGGAGGCCCAGTGACCCTCATTCCCGCATTTGAAGCAGGCTCCCGGGGGGGGGGGGGGCGCTGACGGCCACCCGTTTTTCCGCCTCCTGCCGGCCGCAGAGCTGCTACCAAGGCTTGGGTTTGTAAAGCGACCTTCTGTTTCATTCGAGCTTGGCGAGCTGCCTCTGCCGCATTTTCCCGGGCGTTAAAAACTTTAAAGGCCATTTTTACCAGGTCCTGTATGGGGGTTTCCGGCCCATCCTCAACCTTTTTTAGTTTTTTTTCGGATATCAGGGGCAGACTGTGAGATGAAATGAGAGGCGAGAACAGTTGCCCTGTTTTGGGACGCGGGGTTTAGCCGGGTGAAACGGACAAGGGCATCTTGCAAGTGGCTGAGAAAGAGAGCGGGATTTTCATCCGGCCTCTGAGTTATTTCTCTGAGTTTGTCATAGTTTACTACCTTATTGGAGACAGTATCCATGCCCCGTAGGAGATATGGGAGCATGCGATCGCGAGCTGGGATGTGGGATCCTGGCCCCTCCTGATAATTCCACTGGGGGTCTGTGCTAGGGAGAACTTCAGCTCCAACGGGGACCTGGTTGGGGTTTATAGCATGGTCCCTGTTAGCTGCATACCTAGCTGCTGCTAGGATGCGCTCATGCTCTTCGGCGGAAAGAGTGGAGGTGCAAATGACATGGATATCATGCCAAGTGAGACTATAGGCCCGAGTAAGGTACTGAAACTCCTTAATATAGGTGGAGGGGTCGGCTGAGAAAGATCCAAGTCGGCGTTCGATTTGAGCCAGGTCTTGGAGGGAGAAAGGAACGTGAACTTTGACGAGACCTTCTGCGGCGCTAGGACAGTTGGTGGGTGGGAACGAGTACGGGCCGCAACTGGAGAACTTAAAGGGGGTGGTACTGCAACAGTTGGGAGGGAGGAGGAGGACGAGGAAGGAGGAGGAGGAGGAGCTGTGGGAGTGGGGGCGGGGTCTGCAACTGGCGCAACAGTTGGAAGGGAGGAGAAGGACGAGGAGGGAGGAGGAGGAGCTGTGGGAGTGGGGGCGGGGTCTGCAACTGGCGGAGGAAGGGAGTTGGAGTGAGCAGGAGGGGGATGGGATAGGTGGTCAGGCAGCTCCTCCTGCTGTTCGTAAGGAGGGGGAGAGCTGACCTTGGGAGGGGGAGTAGGCCCTGCGGCAGGCGGAAGTGGAGGAGGGTTAAGGTTGGTGGGAGGAGACGATAGATGGTCAGACAATTCCTCCTGTGGTATGTAGGGAGGGGGAGAACTGGCCGAAGGCGGCAGGGTTTTGGGAGGGGGAGGGGTTTGAGCTAGGAGGACTTGGTGAGTGGAGCAGGAGGAGGAGAGGTCGGGGTGGGGACGCAAATCCCAAAAAGCCTGGACATACAGCACCTCGCGATCCTTGCCAGTACGGCGACAAAAATGGTCTAGGTGTTGTAGGATGTTAAAATCGAAAGTACCAGTCGGAGGCCAATGTGACCGGTTATTAAGCTGGTATTGGGGCCAGGCCACTTGGGACAGGAGGATTTGGGAGTAGCCCAGCTGAGAAAAGTTGAGGAGTAAGCACCCGAGAGGGGTGTTGTTAGGAATTTGAGACTCCGTGTTCCCCATGGCGCGTGTGGCGGGACCTTCCCTTTAGCGGAATTGGGCTAGAGTGGTGTGGGAAGAGGCATCCCGTCTGCCTCACAGCCCCTCTAGAGGGATATAGGAAGAGTCAGAGAAGGCGTCCCCCCGTCTGACCGTTCCTATAGTGGAAGTGGAAGTGGGGGAAGGACCAGAGGAGGCGTCCCTCGTCTGATCACTTCCAAGGCTCCTGGAGCCTGGTTGGAGGATCTGACTCTCGGGCCGGCCGGCGCTTGGCGAGGGATCCGTGGAAGGGGAGACGCAAAAGGAAAAGAGGCCACCACACGCACCGCGGGGAAGATAGGCAAGTAAATGGACTTACCTTATCCGGAGTGTGGAGGCCAATTCAGAGGAAGGGGGGTCGCCAGAGGGAGGGGGCCGCTGGTGGACCAGCCGCCCACACCTCCCGGGTTTCGGCACCAAATGTGCGACCCGCAGAGACCCTTCCCGAAGCAAATGAGAGCGAGGAGTTGTGAAGCCGAGTCCAGGTTTATTGGGATCTGCGGGCAACCCAGGCGGGAGGGGAGCTGAGCTGCACCCAGCAGCTGCCGGAGAGGGTTTTTATAGGGGCGGCGGCCTGTTTAGGCGTGGTGTTGTGGAGTGATTGGTGGAAGGGAGAGCAGAGGAGGGTTTTCTGCGTGCCAGAAGGGGATTGGTCACCTCTTGGCGGGCTTAGGTTTGAATTTTATTGGCTGTCTTGTTTCTAGGCAGACTACTGCAACTGCCAAGGGGTGGGGGATGGGGGTTGGCTTTAGGTTTGGCGGGTTAAGGCTGAGCAGTGATTGGTCGCCCTGCGCTACCAGGCAGAATAGGGTCTGCAGGCGGACTCCAGGAAGTGAGGGACAAAATGGAGGACTGTGGGTTTTTCTACCAAACAATTTCTTTGCCACATTTTTCCTGATTGCTAGTAGTCTTCCATAAGATCCCAT